ACCCTATCTAAGCAGGATGTTTCATACCCACCAATTATTACAGCACCAAGTTCACTTCCCATGTGCATCTGTTGCAATTTGTATTTATATATTTTTTTCTTTGCTTGCTATTGTCTGTCTTCTCCATTAGACTATAAGTTCCACCAGAGGAAGGGACCATGTCTAGGATACAGAAGGCCCTTCATAAATAATTCTTGAGTGAGAAAATGGTGAATAACAGGGTTGGTACACAAAGCAAAGAAAGGGTAGAAGAACATTAACTCCCTTTACCACCATATTTATGGGTGGTGGACCTTATATGGCCTCCTTTGAAGTCAAAACATACATTTTAGGTCTGGCTCCCTTGCAGTGCATCCAAGGATGCTAGCTTGTTTGAGGCTATAAATATCTCTAATGAGGAGTGCTCAAGTCTGCGTGTGTTTGCCTTCTTTTACATAGCATTCAGCACAGCCTCAAGCACAGATGGGCACTTCATAAATATTATTGAAGGATAATACAAAAGATTAGTTAATACCTCTGCATGGGGTTGAGACAGACCTTGGGCCACAAATATACTTTGAATGTGCTTTACTTCTCAAATAATTTGAACCAAAATTATTTCAGCAACACAGACTCATCTGCAACCAGAAATCAGACACATTCAGAATGACAAAGCCGCCAAAGAATGCCATTTTCAAGGCTGAAACTGTATTATTCTTGGGTAAATGGAATCCTTGTTTTACAAACATTGTAAGGGTAGAAATTAAAGACACTACAAGTCTTCCCTCAGGGAACAACAATTATCTGTGAACAATAAAATTTTGTCTGAATAATTCATCAGTCTCAAGGGTACAGCTCCTCCCCCACCACCACCCCCGCCACCGTTCTGGAATCCCAAGAGTTTAGGCAAGTGCACTATTTAATGTTTCTCAACTACTCAGCTGTCATTCTTCCAGGGTCTGGCATTAATGGGCACATTCCTATGATTTTTTTAATGTTTAAAAAATAACCGACATGGGAAACCACTAAGATATGATTTTGAAGCTGCATTTATTTTACCTAGAAAGAAAGAAGCTTATAAAGTGTCCATCATGAGAATCCACCTGGGAGTTACACACCAGATCAAATACCCAAAACAAATCACCACGTCAGAGCCCCACAGAATTCTGAATCCCAACCAGCAAGCATGAATAATCCTTTGAAATGGTCACTTCCATATCAGAACAGGTCCTTTGTGAAATCTCTAAGCAAGGCCTCTGGTTTCTGACTGAAACAGAGATTTATTTGGGAAGGGGGGATAAAGTGAAATCAAGAAGTACTGGGAAATTTCCACAAGAAAAGAGGACAAATGGTTTTTGTTGTCAGAATGAAACCAGCCTCTTCTGGGCAGGGTTTGGAAAGTTGCTGGCTACACCACAGGAGAGTTGGGCAATATTCTCGACTAGTTTCTCAGGGACCACCCTGATCAAGTTGTAGTTACTTGATGGGCAGATGGAAAAGCAAACTAAATTGGAAGACCTTGTTTCAAATCCTGGGTCACTTTCTTATTAGCTGTGTAACCTTGCGCAAGTAATGTAACCTCTCTGATACTTGATTTAGCATCTTCAATATGCTGATAGTAATGCCTACCCAATTACCTCTCTATTAATGCAAAGTTCAAGTGAAGATCAAATACATGAAAGTTCTTTCTAAATTATAAGATTCTGTACAAGTGGAAGGTGTTATTATTAAATATATTCCCACAATATTAAATAACCTACATAGCACTCAGGATCCTATAAGACTCTAGGTTCTCAATTTCTAAAGATCGTCCCATTTTGCCTGTTCTCTACAATTTTACTGAATCTTTTTTTTTGAAAGTAAAGATATAAGCAAAAGCAAATGGAAAAAAAACATGGAGCCATACACCCCACTCTTTGGTGATGTTAGGCAAAAATTTTTAACTGAGGTGGTTCATTATCATGGATATCAATATCACCTGAGGGAAAGAAGTAAAGTGGGGGGCATCCAAAGGTATGTGATTCTTCCCCCCTCTGATGGAAGAATACAAGATCAATTTACAAAAATTAGTTGTATTTTTAATTACTAGCAGGAAACAACTGAAAAATTAAATCTATAAAACTATTCCATTTATAATAGCACCAAAATATATGAAAAATACTCAGGAATAAATTTTAACAAAGATTGGGTAAGACCTCTACACTAAACCATAAAACATATGTATAAGAAATTAAACTTCAAAGTACATATTGGAAATTAAAGAAAACTAAATAAATTAATATACCACATTCCTGAACTGGAAATCTCAATATAATTAAAATGCAATATTTCTCAAATTGCTCTACCGATTCAACATAATCCCAATCAAAACCTGAACAGGCTTTGGTAAAAATTGATGAGTTGATTTTAACATGTATATAGAAATGCAAAGGATATAGAACACACATTTTTTTTTTAATTTGGCAAAGAAGAAAAAAGAATTGGGGGAGTCATCTGATTTCAATATTTACTTTAAAATTTCAATAATCAAGACAATGTAATATTGCCATAAGGAAAGACAAATAGATCAATGGAATAGAATAGAGAATTCTCAAATAGACCCACCTATATATGGTCAGATGATATTTTAAAAAGGCACAAAGGAGAAAGAAAATTCCTTTCAATAAATACTGTTAGAACACCTGGTTATGGGAGGAAAGTGAACCTTAACCCCTGCTTTACACCACACATATAAACTAATTAAAAATCATCATAGACTTAAATGTAAAAATTAAAACTAGGATTCTAAAAATAAAACATAGGGAAATCATCTTTCTGGCCTTGGGGTAAGCCAAGATTTCTTGCAGAGGACAAATAAATATATACTAAACATACAATAAAAAAATAATAAATTGGACTTCCAAAAGACACCATTAAAAATATGAAAAGGCAAGCACCAGACAGGGAGAAAATATTTGTAATATAAAAATCTCATGAAAGACTTATTATCTATAATATATAATTTTTATAAATTAATAATAAAAAGACAACCCAATTTTTTTTAAATTAAGCAAGCAGATAACAAAGAAGTTACACAAATGGACAATAAGCATATAAAAATGAGCTCAACATTACTAGTCATTAGGATGATACAAATCTAAACCAAAATGAAATAATATTTTGCACTCACTAGTTTGGCTAAAATAAAAAAGACTGACAACACCAAATGATGATGATGATAGGAAACAACTAGAACTCCTATGCATTGCAAATAAGAGTGTAAAATGGAAAACAGTTTGGCAGTTTCTTGTAAAATAAAATATACATCAACTCTATAATAGCATTCTACTCCTAGATATTTATTCAGGAGAAATAAAGATGTGTCCACAAAAAGACTTGTATAAAAATGCTCATAGCAGCACGATTCACTAACTAATAATTGGAAACAACCCAAATGTCCATCAACAGGAGACTGGAAAAATATATTGTGATATATTCATAGTTTGGTATACTACACAACAACAAAAGAGAATTAACTACTGATTCATGCAATGAATCTGGATGAATCAAAAAATATATATTAAATGAAAAAAACAGTAACAAACTAGTATATAGTATATGATTCAATTTATGTGAAATTTAAGAACAAACAAAACATAAATATGGCAATAGAGATTATAACAATGGTTCCCTATGGGGTACTGGAGGCACAGGAGGACTTCTGGGGTGATGGAAATGTTCTATATCTTAATCTGAGTGGTTGTTATACAGATATGTAATTTTTCAAAATTCATTGAATTGTACCCTTAAGATTACTCATTTCACCATATGTAAATTTTACCTCATGAATGAATGAATAACACCATGAGGAAAAAACCTCATGGGTGGGACTCTGCAGGACAACTGGTCAAGTCTCCTCAAAAATCACTGTCACTGAGTACAAGAGAAAAGGACTGTGATGGATTTTAAAGACTTAAGGGATATAACCACCAGATGCAATGTATAGTCTTACATGGGATGATGCTTTGGGCAAACCATCAATTAAAGACACTTTAGGAACACTTGGGGGAAATTTAAATATAATCTTTGTTTTAGATGACATAAAGTCTATTAATTCAAAGCTAAAGACTGTTGATGGAAAAGAAAAAAGTTACAAAGCAGTCTACTTTCAGATCTCTTTTTGGTATTACAAAAAGGCAATTGTATTATATAGTATAAATATTATATATATTACATATGATTTATAATTACATATGTATATTATATATGTATAGAAAGCAATCCAATATACATTTATCTAGGGAATATACATTTATCTATTAACATAGGTAACTCAAGGGGAGAGATACAATGTTTACATTTACTTATTTTTTGTGTTTTCTAACTTTCCACCATGCACAAGTACTGCTTCCTTAATAATACACGTTGCTTGAAAATATTAGACTCTGAAATTCACTGTTTGATAAGACAAGGTAAAAGATATTAGGAATGGGTAGGGCCAGGAGAAAGACATCTAACATTGTTTGATCTACTAAGTGAATATCCTTTTGGGCACTTTCCATACATATCTCATTTCACTCTCACAAAAAACCTATACAGGATTATCCCTATTTTTGCAGTGTTAATGATACGAGCTAGCATTTCAACATAATATTATCTGACCTCAAAATCTATGTTCATTTACATATTTGGTAAGTCCTATTACTAAACATTTATGATGTATTTACTATGTTAAATGTTTTTCATGAATCACTGCACTCCTACCTCAATATAACTCATGTAAGGATGATACTATTTTCATCCTCATTTTAAAGATAAGAAAATCAAGGCACAGAGATCAAATAAGTCTTTAAGTTCCCACAGCTAAGAAGTGACAAACCTGATTCTTCATGCTGCAACCCAGTACACTATCCATGTTTCTAAGTTCCCATGCTTCCAACAAGTTCCCAGTGGAGTAGGGGGAATAAGTAACAGTTACCTGCAAAAGGAACATTGATATCAGGGCCTACCATGAAGTTTTTCACATTTACAGCCTTGCTTACCTGTCCAGGGCCATGCTGGTGGGCATACTCCTCCCAAACCCTCGGACCCCCATCTGACGGAAATATGGAATGCAAGAGAGGTTGGCAGCAATGATGGCCAGTGAGTCAGAAGGGCTCACAAAGAAGCCATTTTGGCCTAGAATCATATACCGGTCCTGTGGGAGAGAATGTATGAAAACAATCAGACAAGAAGATCTGCTCCTAGCAGCCCGATCCCATAACCATCAGAAGCCACTTTACTGCCATCTTATATTTAAACAACCTAAAAGAACTTGAATGAGGCCAAAGAGGCATTGGAAATCTTCATTTTAAATCCCTGAATATTGTAGGCCCCAGCATCTAGATACAACTAAGAATGTGTTCCAGCTGTTGAAATGTAGATGACTACCTCAGGCTTCAGTAGTCTCCATATTCTTAATTCACAATGTCCCCCAAATATAATGGAGAGCAGGGGTTATGCTAAAACAGCTGGTTCCTTAACATGGTGCTTTCAACAAAACCAGTCATAAATAAAGATTTATTGCATGAATATTTTTAAAAAAGAAATAATATTTTCATAACATGATGTTTACCAGGAACAAAGAACCGTAATGGCTATTAAGTTGCAATACTTATCCATCGCACAGAAGAGCAGACGCAGTGCCAGTTAGGGTTCATATGCCCCAAATATGTCAGCCCCAGATGTGTTCATTAATTCTCTGGTTTCCAATGCTTGACTCATCATACAGTAAAAGGGTCAGCAGGTGAAAAACATTCCTACTTACCCCATCAGCATCAAATGCAGCTCCAAATCCATATTCCCCTCCTTTCATAGCTTCCAGAAGGGTCGTTGCATATGTCAAGTTTGGGTCAGGATGCTGCCCTCCAAAATCTTCCAGGGGAACACAGTTTATTGCAGAATTGGCCGGGGCCCCCAGCTCATCACACAGGACTTTTCTCACATAGGGTCCCATAACTAAAAAAAGATACACAGCAATGTGAAATCTTTGCAGAACCCCCCAAGGGTGTTTTGTTCTGGTTAGAACAAGAAAGGCCATTTTCTAGCACAGAAAAAAGATAAATTCTACAAGCTTTTTCAAGACACAACACAGGATAGCATTTACTTTAACTACTGTTCATTGAGTAGCTATTATATGCCAGTTACTGCGTTAGACATAGAGAAGATGTATTCAATAATCCAGTTACATAAAATTTTTCTCCAAAACTTTTCTAGAATGTTACCAGAAAGAAATCAACTACATAATAATGATTCATGGTCTGTTGCTTTTTATGTATTAAAAGCTTTAGCTAAATATATGCAAAAGCACTAAAAGGCTCTAGCAATGTTCTTTGTCTCTGCAATCATTGTAACTCTGCCAAGTGTATAATTAAACACTGTAAACCACTGAAGCATATAAAACTAAGCACATTTTACAAAATAAATGCTAAAGAATAGTGTTCTGCAGCTCAACACACATTTATGGAGTTCCTAGCATGTAACTCCTCCTATGTTAGGAAAGGAGGGGATCATATTCAAGGGACCCAAAGCACATGGTTCCTATATTATTGGGCTCTTACTCTGGCATTGGGATGAATGAAATTTACAGATGAATGACTACAATGGTAAGACTCATGCTAGTCAATGTATATTTATGAAATAATTAGATCCAATGGCTTAAGAGGATGAATGACCACAGGTAAGGCTTCAAGAAGGAAGCAGCATTTCTGGGGAACTTGAAGGAAAAGTATAATTTGACAGGGGTGAGGAATGAAGATGCCATCTAAATGGAAAGAATATTATGAGCAAGGGAACGAAGCCCGAGATAGAATATACAGCACGTTTGGGGACCAGCATATAATCCTGTTGGCTGAAATATATGGAAAGGATTGCTTTCCATTTATTTTCCAATAATATAACACAAACCTCAAACAGTGAGCATGTCTTGATTTTGCCTGCCCATCAGTCATTTCTCCTTCATCTAGTAGCAGCATTTTGGGTTTCCTTTGGAAAACCAACCCCCTTCCCATCTTAGTTCATGTGATCCGGGAATGGCTAAATCCTACTTCTCCCAAGGCTGGAGAGGTGACCTAGGTCTGCTCTATCAGTGTCCTCCATTCCTCAGCCAGAGTGATTGATTCAGAGATAGACAACGAGGCTCGAATCCAGAAATACTCCTCAAACTATTTGGAAAGAGAAGCTTTCTTCCCTCTAGGCCAGATAATGCTAAGAGCCTGAAAAATCCTTTACTAAGGATTATGACCAACCCCATAAGAAAGAACAAACAGCCCAACCAGAAGACCTCAGAGTAAAGTTCATGGAGATAGTGTCCTCACTTTTAAATATGTCAGACAGCCAAGGATCACCAAAGTTTTGAGGAATACATTTAACATGAGACCAGAACAAAAAGAGTAAAAAGCAACCAGGAGGAAATAGAAACTATACAGAGAGAAGAAAACTTTTAAAGTATGTATCAGTAATAATCTAATAGAGATCAACAAGATACAGTAGAATGGCTAAAACTGAAGATTGACAATACCAAGTGTTAGTGAGGACACAGAGAAACTAGAGCTCTCTTATAGTCCTGGTAGTGCAAATAGTACAGCCACTTTAGAAAACAGTTTGACAGTTTCTAATAAAGTTAAACATACACTTATCATATGACCCAGCAATCCCACTCCTAGGTGTTTATCTAAGACATATGAAGTCATACATCTCCATAAAGGCTTGTTCTCAAATGTTTATAGAAATTTTGTTTGTAGTAGCCAAAACCTAGAAATAACCTTAATTATATCAACTGGTGAACAGATAAATGAACTGGTACATCCTTACAATGGAATACTACTCAGTAATAACAAGGAATAAGTACTGATAAAAACAACACCATGAATGCATCTCTAAAACATTATGCTGAGTGAAAGAAGCCTGGAGCAAAAAGCTACATATTGTATGTTTCCACTTATATGGCTTTCTAGAAAAGGTAAAACTATGGGTGCAAAGAGAAGATAAGCACTTGCCAGGGGCTAAGTATAGGAGGACAGGTTTGACTATAATGGCAACAAGGAAACTTTTTGAAGTAAGGGAAATATTCTATGTTTTGATTGTCATAGTGATTACATAACTATATATGTGTTTGTCAAACTTCATCAAACTGTATACCTACAAGGTATGAATTTTACTACATATATACTTATATATCATTCCTCAGTAAACCTGACTTATTAAAAAAGATATGGAATTCATGAAACATAACTAGGGTGATATTCTTTAAAAAAAAGACTATTTGGAAAACAAAAAAAAAATGGGAAGAATAAAAATATGATAATGGAACTGAAAAACTTAATGGAAGGAACTGGAGATAAATTTGAGGAAATCTCCCAGAAAGTAGCACAAAACAAAGAGAAGAAAAATGAGTTGTGGAGGGAGAATAGGAAAATTAAAGCATCAGTCCAGAAGGGCCAATATCTAAACAATAGCCATTTTGGAAAGAAAGGAAAGAGAAAATGGTGAAGGAAATCATCCAAGCAGTAATTCAAGAAAATTTCCCAGAATTAAAGGGCACGAATTAGCAGATTAAAATAATCTTTCAAGTGACCAGCACAATAGAGGAAAATAGTCCCATGCTAAGACTCATCATTATGAAAGGTAGAAACACTGAAGATAAGTCAAAGACCCTAAAAACCTCCAGAGAAGAAAAAAGAAAGATTTCATACAATGATTTAAAAATCAGAACAGCATCGGATTTCTCAGGTTCAATACAAATGGCCATTAGACAATGGAGCAATTCCCTCAAACTTCTAAAGGAAAATGATATCCAACCTAGATTTTTATATCCAGACTAATATCAATTAAGAGTTAACATAGAAAAAAGGCATTTTCAGATATGCGAAGACCAAAAATATTTACCTACCATAAGCTTCCTCTCACAGAGTTCCTAGAAAATGTGTTCCTCCAAAACTTAGGAGTAAGTCAAGAAAATGGATGACAATGGATCCAGAAATAGGAGTCAAATTAAGAGAGGGGTAAAGGAGTTACTAGAATTATGATAAGGAAAAAGTCCAGGATAATAGCAGCTCCCGGAGCAACCAGGGCAGAATGAAGTAGAAGCAGATTAGAGGTCTCCAGGACAATGAAGTGAGAAAAGATTTAGACACCGGGAGACGATGGGGGTTAATTACTAATTCCAAGACAATTTTTAAAAAGTTGTGCTGTAAAGAAAACATAATTATAGTATTTTGCAGGGCTCAGCAATATTATGATAATGTAGACAATGAATATTGATCTTACCAAAATGGTCATATAATTAGTTTAGGGAAATGTGCTTAGATTTAGTGAGTGGAGAGGATGAAAAAGAGCTACAATCTCATTTTCCATAGTATGAAGTCAGTAATGCCCCAAAATCGAAAACTTGATAAGAAGTAGTATATTCATGGTTTTTAGTAAAAGGGAGATTAATAGTTTTTAAAAAATAACTAAAACAGTTTTTAAAAAGTTGCCTCTAGAAAGCAGGACATGGGAGTGGGGGAGTTAAGGATAGATTTTTTTTAATAATGAACTTTGAACTATTTGACTATTTAAACTATGTGCATGTACTGTGATCAAAAAAAAAAAATTTAATGACTACCATTTTACTCTATCCATGCCACATTCTAACAACTCAAACTTATTTGTTCAAGCTCTAGTTTCCATTTGCATCAAAAGGGAGAAATTAGAATGCCGAAGTTTTCTGGAGCATTCCGAATATCTGAACATACACATGTTGTGTGACTATCTATGAATCCAATCTTCCTCATAATCCCAGAAACTCAACATGTGTCGAGGTCTCCTTAACATTTCTTGCCCACCAACGTAGAAGACCACAAGCTTACCTCCATGCATTGCATCAACTCGGATCTTCAGTTGGCCAGGTCCAGTCAGCAAACTCTTGATAGCATTAAAGTCAAAAATGGTCCGAAGGAGATTGAGATAGATATCCACTGGGTCCACTATCTCCACTAAGGATAGGAAAGCAAAAGGAAACATCAATGAGCGTAACCATGAAGGATACATGGAAATGTAAAAATAATGACTACCCTAATAAATAAAACTGATCCCAAGCCCATCATAACCCCACACATTATTTGAGAAGCACAGTGTCCATTTATAGACAAAATCACAAATGAAGACACCACCAAGGTGATACAAACTTTTCAGATTATCAATGAGTGTAAACAATATCAAGTTGTAAATTTCCTTGCAAGTGAAAAATCAACTGAAAGAATAAAATAGTTAAGATAAAACTGTGCTGTTATCCCTATTCCCGCCTTCTTTCTGCCTCCTCCTTCCCCCAAAATGCACCCACCTCAATGCTAAGAGGCATATTGGCACACCCAGTTGCCTCTCCTATAGGGGCTGGCCAAAGAATGACTCAGCTGGCATGAAACAAATCAAAGAGTGACCTCAGCAGTGACTCCTATTTTCCTAATGCCATTGTGCCAACCAGATCCAGGTTTAGAGATAGTGATGAAGGATATATTCCTGAGTTTGTATGAAATCTCTTGTGTGTCCAATCTAGTAACAATTTCAGGGTGAGTGCCAGATATTTAGAAATCCTCATTAAATACAAATATTCTCTAGTGTCCAGCACCACCCAATGACCAGGAATCCAAAACAAGTCTTTTCCATTTATTTGACAAATACATAAAACCCAGAATACATTACACTTTTCAAACTTGGCAATCAGTACATAATAATACTCAGGAGATTCTTTTCCTAGAAAAGATCCTAGTTGACTTTTAGATGCTAAAACTTGTCCATGAGCCTATCTTTTTAAATTCATAGTTAAATTCTGAAACTTATATGTACTGCTTTTCAAATTTTTCAAATACATGCTACTTTGGAATCCTAAAATATTTAAGCCTGCACTAAAGATATTACCAATCTACCTTTAATAATTTTCAGTAAATCCAGGTATAATATTTAATGGATGAGATTTTAATATGTAATATGAAATTATCTCTTCATCTGGTCAAATATACAGCTAAAAATATTTTTTCTTTGCATTTTAATCAATACAATATGTGTGTCCATTCAAATATAATATAATTACTTTTTAAGGAACATACTTGGTTTTTCATCATATTTTGACATGAAGAGGATATTAATCTATAAAATAAATCAATTAAAAATTAATTTGTATGAACTGTATACTTAAAATAGTTAAAATGGTAAACTTCGTACAACAAAAAATTAATCTATAAAATAAAAAGTCTTGAATTAAAAGTTTTACTCATTCTATAATATAATAATTCTGGCAATTTCATTCTGGTTCTTAAATTCTTGAACCACTTACCTAAATAGATTTGGAATTTATAGCAGATAACACATAAAAGTACAAACATAAAAGTAAAAAAGAAGAAAGCAAAGAGAATTCAGTGAAATTTATAAGTTCATATCACGTGGTTCATGCTCTTGACCCTGTAAGGTGAAATGATGAGACTGATTTGTTTCCAATTAACTCAAGCCCTGCTCAACATTTAATTCGGCAAGAACACAGCACATAAACTATCCTAAACAATTATCTGCGAAATTCTTTTTGGGAGCCAGGAAATCTCTCTACCCACCTCCTAGTATCCGTAGCATTTTTTAAAAACTTATCAAACCAGCAAAGTGGCTGCAGCAATGTGCTTGAAACTGAGCTCACCAAAATCTAGGTCCCTTAGACAACTAAATAAAATTATGAAAGTATTCCAGCATCTTCACCTTAATTGCTTAGAAAACACAAAGACATTTTGGCAATTCACAGTCTATTCTTGGAATACCGTAAAAGAGTCGGCTGTGAAACTTTCCCTATGTCGAAAATGATAGCGTCTGCAAAGTAGTTTTTGAAAGTTGCCTGTTCTGAATATCTTGGCTGCTTTTATTACACTCTGAACCACATTCAGATTACATCTATTTATCAAGTGTCACTCCTGAGATTGATAACGCAATCGCTTTCGTGGGTGTACTCCCATGTAGAAACCAGAGTCATCCCTATCCACAGAGTTATCCTGACTTTTTAAAAATATAATCTCTCTATTACCTCTAAATGGTTTGAATTTGTTCTCCAGGTCAAATTCTTGTCTTCCTAGTCGAGACAGGTCAATTCGAAGATCAGGACATATGGCATATTCCTCAATTGTTTTGCTGATCTGATAGATTTTGTCTGAGACAACATCTGGCGCAGGACCTAAAATTTGAAAATAATGCAGCACCAAAACTGAATTTATTTAAAAGTTCCATCAAAGAAATGTTACCTCCTCCTCTACCAAGCAGGAGAAAGATTTGCATGTTCTCTAAGCAATGGACAACAGTTCACAGTTCAATTAGACCCAACATTTCTTATGTTGTATACATCCGCTATGGAGGAAATTCAGCCAGCCTTACCTGTTCTATGGAGGCTAATAACCTATATGTCTGTTTGTTTGAATCTACTTCTCAGCAAAGACACATCTTCCCTAAAAATAGTCTCACACCTGCCAGGGAGGCCCAGTTATGTAATCAGCTTTATTCAGGATATGAGACACAAACAGGATACGCTTTAGACAGAAGTGAGGGATTCCAGATTTAAATTCCAGCTTCCCAAGTAACCTAGAGAAAGCAAATATGATTTCCACTCCCAGGCCTGTTGCCTCGTTGATGTGTGAGCTTACCAGGGTAAATTATTTCCCCTCAATTCATACTCTCTAGTGACTCTCAAGTTTTTAAAAAGAGGTTTAACTAAAAATATCTGATGCGTGTGCTCACAAGTTCAGGTTGACAATTAAGTTGTAATAAACTTTAAATAAATTGAACATAAAATCAATTGTTCTCTTCAGTTTTTCTTGTCTTTTTAACTTTTATATCTTTTTTTTTATATATAGTAGAAAAGAAAAGTTTTATTAGAAGGGAAAGTACACTTCCAGAAGTGGAAGTGGGACTGAGCAAGAGAAGCGTGGCTCAAAAGGCCTCACTTTTATATCTTAATGCAAGCCACTTTAGTCAATGCTTGATACAGCTACACCTTAAGTATTAGTTTCTTGAAATTCTTCCCTCAAAAATACCAAATCTGAGTGTCCTCGGCCCAAATTCTCC